TCTCCTTCCAAGCAGAGGGGGGCTGTGGGTTACCCACACCGTGGTGCTCCATGCCTTGGAGAACTAAACCCAAATTCTTTAACACACGTTTCAGAGCCCTGGCCCCTGCCTACCTCCTACCTCGTTCTAACTCACACAGAATTTCTTCAGGTTCCTCAAATGGGGTCATGTCCTTGCTGATCTCCAGGCTCTACCACTAGCTGCTCCCCTGCCATACTGCCAGCTCTTCACTTTCTGGAGGATGAAGACACTCATTTATTGAATAAAGACAGCCAGTAATTGATTAATCAACCCATTAATTAAATCAGCTGACCTCTAGTAATATTTTCAAGTATTACCTTCCTATGTAATGTCACCTGTCTTAATTGTATTAGTGTTGTGGCCAACTGGTAGGAGATTATAGATAGATAGATAGATAGATAGATAGATAGATAGATAGATAGATAGATACACACATACATATATATGTATATATAATAAATATATACTGATAAATATATGCATATTAATTTTTCTAGTTGAGTGTATACTAAGAGAAGTATAGAGGAAAATAATGTATTCATTTTATCTGGGGTGAGGTAAAGGAAGAGTGCTCCTTCAGATTCAAACCTTTATTAATCAATAAATTATTGACTATTATTTTCCATAGCTTTTCCTTAAGAGTATGTGCATCCGTAACAGGCCAGAGCATTCCAAAGACAATAGGTGAGCATGTTTTCATTATTATACTCCTATACTAGACTAAGTCAACTGTAAGCATTTCTCTGCACAGACCACATAAACCTGTTAACAAGCCCTTTATTAATACCAAGAGTTCTACTGTATATATGGAACCTTCTACATAAATATGACCTGAATAATTGCAATTAATATTACATATAAAAACATAGAATTGTGGGGGGAAATGACGGCTTGTGTGAAACCATTACAAAACAAGTTTGTTTGTTTTTTAGTTTGGGGAGTGCTTTATAAAATTTTCCTCAGCTCCTATATTGTTTTTAATCCCAACTATGGGAAAAAAAAAAAAACATTTCCTGAGTAAGCGAGTTGAAATAGGAACTCACACCTCTGATAAAGTACTGCATTCATTGCATAGTTTTCCTTTCCTGATTATATTTACTTTATTTCTGTCCTGTAGGCCTGACTGCTGAGGTGCAATTAGATTCCTTGAAACAAAAAGGAGCCATTAAACGCACACTGTTCCTTGAGAACCATCAGTCACATCTCATCTTCCCTCTCGTGATAAAGCAGCAGAAGTCACACCAATGCCAGGACTTTATCGTTTACCTGCGAGTAAGTATTCCAGGATCACCTTTCTGGCCTCTCACATTCAAAGCCAAATTCCAACCATTTTTCTCCATTTAAGCATCACCCTTGTCTTCATCTATTTTCATGTTATAGGAGGAAAGTTTATTATAAAGCCTCATACTTCCCTTGCCAGGCTAACTTCAGCTGACCCAGGGATGTGTTGCTATTAATTCCCACGGTTTCTTTTTGTTTTGCGCACAATCTCGATAATAGCACTAACTCAGGTGGTTTTCATTTCTAACCACCTCCCTCACAAAAAAAAACACACACAAAAAAAAACACATAAATGTTAAACATAATTTATTTGAACCTTTCTCCTATGTGAGTATGTTTGGCCAGATTTTATCAATGTGCATTTTCAGAGCCAACTCAGGAAACTGTTTAGGCATTCAAAGCCTTTATTAAAAGTCATTTATAATTATATTTTTTTAAAGGGATGGATTTTTACAATGGCTCCAAAACCTACCGTGAAATTTAAAAAGCCAAAATATTTATGATACAATGATTCCACCTTCTTAGCAGTTGTGAGCTTGTTCTCTCATTCTGCCTCCTCCTCTAACGGACTTAGTGAGGGGAAATCTGGTGAAGCCCAAGTTTACAAACATGCTCTAGGACAAAAAGCTGGGCTCCTGAGCTTTGAGTCCCATTACCATGGTGACTGGCACACACCTAAAGAGTGGCATGCCCACCACAGGTGCACGGAGTCCATTCCTGTGTGCTCAGGGCTTTCTACTGGTGCCACTCACTCACCTCACAGGGGTTCTATTCCTTTTCCTGAGGGAACTTCAAATATGCTGAAGGTGTTTTGAAGTTCATGCCAAGTGAGAGCTTGAAGAGATGATAAGAGAGGAAGAGANGTCTGGTGCCCACCTGTTCACACGAATTCTTGGCACAAAGGCTGGGAATGTTGGCAGGGGCCTCTAGTGGGTTTCTGCCTGTGGCTCCTGTGGCTCATTTAAACCCTGTGTTTTCTCCCTGCAGAGCGAGGCCAGTGGTGACCGTGGGTGCCCAGCTTCTGCTGCACCCGATGATTATCAACCTGGAGAATAAAACCTGCCAGATTCCTGAGTCCATGACCTCTGTGGCCTGGTGAGTCAGTCCATTCAAAGCACCTGGGGATCATGTGAAAATGCAGCTTCTGGGTCTGTAGGTCTGGGTTGGGGCCTGAGACTCTGCACTTCTAAAGAACAGAGCTCTAAGGGGATGCTATGCTGCAGGCCTGTGCACCACGTTTGAGTAGTGAGGAGTAAGTCTTTCCAAAAAGGAAAAGAAAAGAAAGGAAAGAAAAGCTGGGATCTATGACAAGATGCTGATCTGTTGCTGTCAACTTGTCACATGAAGTCTACTTCTCCAACCTACAGGTTATAGGTGAAGTGAGAAGTACAGGTGACTCTTGAATGGCACGGGATTTGAACCATGTGGGTCCACTTATACACAGAATTTTTTTTTCCAATAAAACAGTCGGCCCTTCGTGTCTGCGGTTTCATATCTCCAGGTTCAAATGATCACTGATGGAAAACTATTTTTGCATTCCCAGCCGCAGATTCCCAGCCACAGATATAAAATACTGTTTCCATTGGTGGTTGGTTGAATCCACAAATGCAAGGGACCAACTGTAGAGTCAAAAGTTCCATGTGGAGTCAGTGACCCTAAGCCCCACCTTATTCAAGGGTCAATGGTACAAAAATGGGAAAATTCTCAGTGAAGCAAATCTTGGAGATATCTTTTAGATTCTTGGCATATTAAAAGAAACATTTACCAATCTAAAATAAAATCAAATACCTTGATTTTCGCATTTGCATATGCTATGGATACCACTCTTTGGATATACCGTATTTCCCCATGTATGAGGCGCACCTTTTTTCGAAAAATTTGGGGTCTAAAAACTGGGTGCGTCTCATACAGTGGTTGTAGATTTTTTTTACTTGCATTTACCACTTTTTTCACGCTTGTTTGTGCGCTCATACAACCACTGTATAAGACGCACCCAGTTTTTAGACCCCAAATTTTTTGAAAAAGGGTGCATATTATACATGGGGAAATACAGTATATAATACCCTTTTTGTAAATAGTAAAACTTGTGTTAAATTACCTGGTTTCCTGTGCTGAAAACAGATGTCAGTTTTCTACCTTTGCATGTACAGTTTGACAGAAAGTAAACATTATAAAAATAGAGATTTTTGTGTCCTAAACTATATTTTTGTGGCCATGAGCTCATCATCAGGAATAGCAGGAGAGGTATGGTTCATTTGCCTGGGCTTTCAGAGAGCATGACATATACAACTTCAGGAAGCGTTCCTTTTGAATCTTTCCAGTCATCCAAAGGGACTAGGAGATGGAACTTGATTGGAACTCAGCCACTTTGTGTTAATATGTAGGTCCTCAAGGGTCAGAAGTCTGTCCTACTGGGTAACGCCAGTAGGGTATATCCTCTGAAAAATCAACAAATGCTTGGAGGGTTTGAGATTTGTCTGCATTTTCCAGAAGATAGGGTCTAACTCAGGCAATATGTTTGGCTCTTGAGAATGTCAGAACAAACCAGTCTTGACCCAAAGAAGCTGCAGTATTTCCAGACATTTTCAATGTGTTGTTAATAGCAGGACCATACCAGAGTCAAAGCCTTGGAAGGTGAAGGGTGGGGCATGAGGGGGACCCTGAAGAATTTTTTGAAAAAAATCCTTTTTTGGGAGCTCCCCATTCTTGGAGGCCTGTCCTCTCTTTAACCGGTTTTTGAAAGTAGCTGGGAACTGCCCTGAGAACATTTTAAAATGGTTTAAAACCATAAACTATTATAATGAAAACCTGATCTGAGAAAATATGTGAAAGAGCTAGCATCCATCCTTACTCTGGCATGATTAAATAAGCTTGAAATGAGCTGTGAGAGTCACTTGGGCATGAGTATTAAAAAATTGGTATTTCCCCAAATAGTCCTATGTTTGCACGTTCACAGCTGAATGGACTCTAGGCTGAATTCTTTTAAGCATAAGTGTGTGTGGCACACTCTGGAATAGTGTTATGGTTTCAACCGAGATCATTTTTTCCTAAGGATGTTAGTATTTTGTTAAAATGTAAGTATTTTAATAGATTATGGGATCTGTTTGGTTTTATGGAAAGATTATCACTTTATAACAAGATGTGTCTTTTCGAGACCCATTTTCTTTGTTGCATTAAATCATGTTATTAAGATAAAATGCAATTTATGTTGACAGATATATAATATATGTCTTTACGATATTTATTTTTTTATTCTATTGCGTGCATGTTCTGAAAGATGTTTCATTTTCACATTCAAAAAATTTTAATGGTGGCTCAGAACTTTAAAAGATGGAAAGTTAACAGCTGGTTCAGTCTAGAATGTGTTTCTCTGATACCTTTCTAATTTGTTCTGGGAATTTAGCTCCATTTTTCCAAAATGATTGAAAGGCATTTGTTGATTTTCTTTTCTGTAATTTTGGTCTGTATTTGATATAACTTTGCATTGTACATCTGAAAACTATTAAGTAAATTCTAACTGAAAAATAGTTCTTCACTTCCATTGATGTGACTTTCTGAGGCTTTCAGACAGCTGCGTAGTTTCATAAAGTATCTGCTACTAGAAGTTCTAAATTAGAAATAAAAACATAAAGCCAGCTCAATAGATCTTAATATAATTGTTATTAACCTGTCAGAAAAATAAAAACTATTTAGTAAATATTTCCATTTTATAAATGGAAAAGACCATCACTATCCACTTCTCAAATCTGAAAAGCAACTTCAGTTATCCCTACCTTTCTGTAAAATCTGATATTTGCTATCCGTGAAATAGGATTGACTTGGTTAGATTGAAAAATGAGTTGCTTTCTACTTTTAAACCATGTTTCACATTTATCTCCTTCTTTCTCCATCATTTATGGCTATGAACACCATTACATCACAGAAACATTGTTCCAACCATTATTGCATTGGGTTAGGAGTAGTGTTAGAGGATTTGTACTGAATTGTCCTGCCTCTGACATATCACAAGCACTATAGCCAAACAGTTTTGTTTAGAATTTATGTGATGAGGGAGCTGAGTTGATTTAATGGCTTTTTTTTGTTCTAATCAGTTCTATTCAGATTATAATGTACCATATTGAATATGACCATAAATTTTAGCTTGACATTTTAACTCAATTAATTATTATTAATAACTTACAGCTTTCTTTAACAATCAAGCACTTCCAAAAAAATTAGACACAGAAAAATTTCCAATTTTGAAAGCCAGACCTGCTAAAAAAAAGTAAAGATGTGATTAACTATTTATCTTTCTTGAAATATTTTAATCGAAGTAGAAGTGGGCTGGAATTTGTGATTTCTCTGGGGAAGTGGTAAAAACGCTGTAATAGCAGAGACATCTCAGGAAACTTTTGGCTTAATGGCATGTGGCAAATTATTTACCCTGAAGGGGAACATTGACTGAGGTCACGGTAGATAGATGAATCCCAGATGTGACACATTTTCATTATGTTTGACACAGGAAGCTGACACATAATTAAAGTATGATTGGGGATTATTTACTCCTTTTGGATTCTGTAGAAATAGTCTAACCATACTACAGTATTTTACTAGTAAAAATGTTAAAACTGTCATTAAGTCATACTTAGGTACTTTCTTATATTTCTACTGTCTTAGAAATGTGAAAAAGTCCCATCTCAAATGCTAGCTGTCAGGACTTGAAAATTTTCAGGAGGGAGGTGAGCACACTCAGCCACGTCCAAGTCAGCTGGTCATGTCTTATTCCTTCCACAGCCACAGAACAGGCCCAAGGGCAGGTCATCTTATG